GATAGCATGGTAAGTCAGAAACTCGAAAAGCTTGGATTTATCCTTATTGAGCACCGCCATTAACCAAAAAAAAAACAGTTAAACGAAGGTTTAAGAGGGCAAAAATGGCGTTAAAAATAAGTTCCGTGCTTCAAATTGTCTCATTCATTCCCTGTGAATTGTTCAGGCTTGGGCGTATATCAAACATGTTTGGGCGGCTGGCGAATTAATCCAATTGATGTATGAAATACGTACAAGCTTGCAATTGGAGCTTCTTGCGGAGAAATTTAACAACATTTTAAGCAGAAGATGGTACCTCTAAAGGCAATCGAAAAGGAAGGAAGAACAAAGTGGCATCACACTGGTATGATACCAAGAAAAACAAAAGTAGCTAAATGAATATAAAGACTGGTACTTTTATCGCAAGATATTGTAATCGGCTGACTTGACTTAAAATCTGTTAATGTAAGTGCTCAAATGGTGATATTAATTTTGTAAGTTTAGATTAAAAGACATTTCTTGAACTTTTCTCTCCTGCATTTCGGGAGTGATGCAATTTAGTAGTCAAGTTTTGTCGGGAAAAAAGAAGTACGTGGAGTAAAATTCTCTACTAAGCCTTGCTGATATTTGCACCAGCCTCTGCTTTCGTGGTGTGGTGATGAGACCAAAAAATAGGGGATGGGTGGAAACCTTGCCTTTGGCGCACAGCTGCAGATTGTGATGCATTTTGTGAACAAACCAAACTTAATGTATGCAAGCGGCTGGGGTCGCTCGGGTTCTTGGGCTTGGAGGTACCTGGCGCCCTTGCTCTGTGGATACACAGACATGATTCATATGTAGGTGAGGTAGGACATAGCCATCGGTGTCCAGGTTCTGCGGAGCCTCGTTTATGCTTGATGGTTTCAAGTGAGCTCTAATTTGGATCACGTCTGAAAACCTCAAAACGTTCCATAGGGGTTTGGCATGTGCGATTAGACGATGTCAGGCAGGAGTGAAAAATTCACATAAAATATGGGAAAAAGAGTGAAAAATTCCTTTTCATAGGGTGTTGCTTTACACCCAAAGTCGGCAATTCTAGGACACTGGACATTGTTACATCAACGGAGGCCTACATCACACAGTATGCCCAGAACACACAAAACTACTTAACCATACGCTCACAATTAAAGAAGCAACACGCGCGTGTGTGTGTGTGTGTGTGTGTGTGTGTGTGTGTGTGTGTGTGTGTGTGTGTGTGTGTGTGTGTGTGTGTGTGTGTGTGTGTGTGTGTGTGTGTGTGTGTGTGTGTGTGTGTGTGTGTGTGTGTGTGTGTGTGTGTGTGTGTGTGTGTGTGTGTGTGTGTGTGTGTGTGTGTGTGTGTGTGTGCATGTGTGTGATTCATGATAGCCACGTGACATGGGTTCATAAATATTGCCATGCAAAACGGAAAATGGAGGGATATTTAGGAACAAGTGCTCTTTCCCTGGAATATCGTGGTGAATTAACATATACTTGGCAACGTATATGCTATCTCCAATGGCGTTTTTGTAGCGTGATCTCGTTAAGACCATACTACTAGCTTTTTTCGCGAAAAGCTAGAAACAGGCTGGAGTACAACTTGTTTGTAAGGCAGTTAGTAAAACTCAGGACATAGAACTTAGTTTGAAAACTTTGTTTTGAATTAACAATGGAATGGTCGCGTAAGTCCCCCCACCCCCATACTTTCGGTCGGCGTTATGAAATAGGGCGAGTCAGTTTGTTAAGGAGCCAAGTACTTCCGCAATGGAACGCATTTTTTCGTCTATTCTTACTGCTCAAACTTATGGCTTCTGATCACAGCAATGAGATGTACCCCGAACGAGACGAGCGCGAGTGCGATATGAGCCAGCTGCACCGGTGTTCACACGACGCCACGGATGTCTCACTGGGAGACGAGCGCGAGTGCGATATGAGCCAGCTGCGCCGGTGTTCACACGACGCCCCGGATGTCACACTGGGAGACGAGCGCGAGTGCGAATATGAGCCAGCTGCACCGGTGTTCACACGACACCCCAGATGTCACACTGGGAGACGAGCGCGAGTGCGAATATGAGCCAGCTGCATCGGTGTTCACACGACGCCACGGATGTCACACTGGAGATGATATTTATCCGATCGGCATGTTTCGAAAAGATTCAAACATTTTCGTGTCTTGCAAAGCCCCGAATCCTGAAAACGGGGATTGAGATCTTGAAAATTAGGATTCGGATCTTAAAAAAACATAGGATGGATACTGAAGCCCGCCCATCGTAAGCTTGTAATCACAAATTTCAGAGTATTCTCAGCTCTAGATTACAACCCTTGCATAGCACAAAGTAGAACTGTGAAATGCACACGATGAGATTAGACGCGACGGCAAGCGTTACAATTAAGCTATTTTAACCTTTTGGAGAGATGTAGTCGCATACATCGTGTGATGTCTTCGTCCAGCGGTACGGCTCAGCTCGGTTAGAAAGAGACGTGTAGTGACGCGGCGATCTGTAATGGACTGAGTCCAGTGGCGTACTGCCCCTGCTATACCAGGCAGGCACGACATAACATTTAGTTCAGGTGAGCTACCACTTATGAGTCAGCTTACACACACGCACCTATTATGCGTCCCGTACGGTCCGCCACCGGACGGTGGTCAGCGCCCGCGGCGATATGTCGCATTCCACCGCGCGGCCGAGGCCGCGGCGCGACACGGCAGGGGCGGCATGCTGTGCCTTTGTGAAGGCTGGGCGTGCTCACAACACATCGGGCAATGGAAAACGATTAAAATATTAAAACTCCTGTTCTGAGCCACGGCTCAGAGGGAATTCAAGCATTACCGGCAAAATAAGCGGCCAAACAGATGAGTGTTCGAATCACAATTTGCATCACGCGAACTCGCCTCCCAGCCAGAGGTAAACAACGTTCCATTTCATTCGACGTGGAAGCATAATTTATCTTCGTTAAAGCACTGCCATTTTGAATGTTCACCCATTAACATTAAGCACAAATAATCGAGCAGTGGCCCGCAAGCTGATCTGCAAGCCGCCTTTCAACACCATGGGTCATTGCTAAAGGTCATCTGGGCTGCGCAGACCGGCGAGTACTCACACCAGCTGGGAAGGTTGGGTTTACAAGCTGGGGAAATTGCGGGCGCGGGCAAACGGCACGTGTACAAGTCCTAAAAACTACGGGTGTCACCACGGGTCGTAGGACATATAAATTAGTAGCACAAGAAGACGAACACAAATTTTTACGAACAGTTGACTGGGAACTGAGCGAACGTTGACACCGGGCACACAACCCAGGCAAAACTTTCACTGATGTTAAAATGCCAGCGCAGCAACATGTACGCTAAAGACATCACATGTAAAAGAGGCGAGGAATGCAATACAAAATATAATGACAAATAACATGTAAGATGAAGCATTTCAGTCCAATCGCGACCACAAACGTAACAGCAAAATACATTTACATGAGATACAGAAGCTCTAAGTTATTGTGCGAACAACTGCGTTTGCATAATGATAACATACCTTACATGTACTGAAACTGCAAAACATAGTGAACTTCAGTACATCACATGAATGCTTTACAGCAGCCCACTTAGGGAAGTCAAAGAATCACGTCATAGATTTAGGTGTTATGTAAAAATGACATCGTATAACAATCCCGATCCACTTACTAGTCTTGGTTCATAAGCCTGCTGGTTGCCGAACAACATTCAAAACAAGCACATGACCTAGAATAGGTAGCTTTGAAACAGTTTTTAAAGCTTGTTAACTTTTCTTAAAATCACGATACCGGTCCATGCTATCCCAAATATCCAACAAACAGTTAAGGAGCTAGAAGACCACTCAGTGCACCTTTCAGTACATAAAATGTGTCCGTTGGATTTTTTCCACTTTTGAACATCATTAACATTAGTGGCGTTGCTGGTGAGAATCGCATTTCCTTTTGATACCGTATCATCCTAGTCTGCATAACTCAAACTCCAATGGCTCGCATAAAAGGGATGACACAAATCATGAACATGAGCTCTTGAACGGAGGAAACGATTTTGTCTGTCAGGCAAGCTAAGTATTCATTTATACTTGAATCGATATAGCTATGACAATTTTTTACACCTTGATATCTGGGTTGTCTAAGCTAGAAACATATTATATCACCATCTGACCATACTGAAAAAGTCGGCACTGTGAAGCGCACCACATAATCTTAAGATTGCTCTTTCAGCTGAAAACCCATACAAATCTGGAAAAAGCCTTGTAAGCATAAGTTGCAACGCTAAGACTGTTGTCAAAGTATAAGTGATGCTCTTGCTCGCTTGCTGTAGCTGATGAAATTAATAGGATCGCGTGCTCAGAAATGACGACCGTAAAGCATGTGATGTTCAAACATACTGCACCTAATTAAGGTGTCAAGGCAGATACATGTGTGTGATGCCACTGCAACTGTAAGTGCATACGGTTATCTCCTTAAGACTTCGGATTATCTCATAGTTGAAGGTGATCGTGCTTCTCTCTGATTGTGGCTTTTCACTCTCTCGTAAGCCTTTGTCTAAGCTGTGCTAGACAAAGGCTTTGTCTTGGCAGTGCTAGACGCGTACATCTGCAAAACTGGCACATGTCCAGAAAAAGTCCATAGTCATGTTGGCGGCGGCGAATGCAAGCAGAGGCGGATGAAGCATGGCGCACGGACACCAACATTGGGTGGTGGACTGCAGCGCACGCTCCGAAGTGTCCTACATTAACACCGATCTCCTCCCATGAGATAACATCGCGAGCGCATATTCCATCCATCTTGCAACTGAGCCGCCAACATACACAGATGAGGTCGCGCAATTTGCACGCCCCTGCGGCTCATGGCAGACCTCAGTCCAGAGCTTGCATATCTATTGCCTTATTTGTAGTTACTCCGCCCACGGAGTTAATCCGAGACTTCGGCCGGCCCTTGTCAGTGCCACGGACCCGCTGGGAGTGAGCACACCCGTCGCTCTCCCGCTCGGCAATGTTGTCCCTCGCACAGCGAAGATGGCCGACCAGCTCCGGCGCGCGCCGGCGGTGCTGCTGAGTCTGACGCTGCTGCTGACCGCAGCGGCCGGCTACCCCGACGTGCAGTCCCGCCCGCTGGTCGCCACGCGAGAGGGCATCGTCAGGGGCGTGGCGCGGCGCAGCGCCGCCGGCGGCCTCTTCTTCGGCTTCAAGGGGATCCCGTACGCGCGCGCGCCGCTCGGGCCACTCCGCTTTCAGCCGCCGCAACGCCACCCGGGCTGGGCGGACGTGCTGGACGGCCTCAAGCACGGCCGCACGTGTCTGCAGTACAACGCCTTTAAGAGCAACAGTCTGGAGGGCGACGAGGACTGTTTGTTCGCCAACGTGTACACGCCGCAGCTGCCGGCGCTGGAGAGAGCCGTTGGAGGTTTGCCAGTCATGGTTTTCATACACGCCGGTGGCTTCACGATGGGCAGCGGAGACGAGGAGATATACGGACCGAACTACTTCATGGACGAGGCTGTGGTGCTGGTGACCTTCAACTACCGACTTGGATCGTTCGGATTCTTCACGACACGCGATAAGAACGCTCCCGGCAACTACGGTTTGCTAGACCAGGTGATGCTGCTGCAGGGGGTCCGGGATAATATCGCCAGATTTGGCGGAGACCCTGCTACGGTGACCGTTTTCGGCACGTCAGCGGGAGGGGCCAGTGTCTCGCTTTTGGTGCTGAGCCCCCTGGCGAAAGGTCTGTTTCACCACGCCATCAGCCAGTCAGGTACGGCATTGGCAAACTTTGCGGCAGGTGGAAAGGCGAAGAATTTGGCTCAGAAGTTTGCAGAGCAGCTAAATTGCTCTGCCGACGATGTCTCCATCATAATTGAGTGCGTAAGGAACGCCCCCTCCGAGGATCTCATGGAGGCCAGAAAGAAAGTAAGGCTGCAGGAGGCGCTTTTTCATCCGCGGGTGGACCACGAATCGGAATCGCCGTTTCTGCCAAAAGATCCGCGATATCTCATCAAGAATGGGGAATTCAACCTGGTTCCATGGATGAATGGCATTGCGGAAGAGGAAGGAGCACTGTATGCTCGTTTTTTTCTCCAAAACAAATCAGTGGCGGAAGGTGTGTCTTCAGGAAATCCCATCACATGGGGCATCCTAACTGGCTTGATTAGCGAGTCCGGGGCCATTCCACTGGACTGTGGATCGGACTCAAACGTGGAGATCGCCAAAGTGATTGACTTCTACGTCGGCAATGACACACTCAGCCATACTAACACTCTGCCGTTCGTTCGAGCTATAGGAGACCGAGTATTTGTTGTTCCCATGTCGGAGGAGGTGCGCCTCGCGTCACTCCACGCGCCGGTCTACAAATACGTGCTGGATTACAGAGGACCTGGTCGCCTCTCCCCCGCCGAGCTGTTTGGAATTGATGCACCTATCATTGATCCCTCGCACGGCGATGACTTGGTGTACCTGTTCAGCAACGCAAAGCAGGCAGCGTACCCGGCCGACTCGCCGACGTACACCATGATCCGCTTCATGGTGAGCCTGTGGACGAGCTTCGCTCGCACCGGTCGGCCCAGCTCAACCGTCCTGCCGACGCCCGACTGGCCTGTCTTCACCGAGCACAGCCAGCGCCACATGCGACTCAATGCGGAGCCCTCAGTCGGGGAGCGGCTGTTCGATGAGCGCGTGCGCTTCTGGCAGAGCGTCCGCATAAACGAGGCCTGGCGGCACGAGGTGCAGACCAGCTGCCTGCCGAACGGGGCTGAGTACGGAGCGCGCAGGCGGCGCTCGGCCCCTTGAGCCTTTGATGATTCAGTGGCTGGTGTACGACGCTGAGAGCCGAACCGGGCTTCCGGCAGGTGTTTCAGAGCCGCTTCCAGTCGCGAGCGCTGACGTGACGGAGACCAGGAGCCCGGCGCGCGCTGGTTTCGCCGCGATCTTTTAAGTGGGAGGCGTGAAGTGATTGTTAGAAAGTACGTCTGCCACGTATATGTGGAGCACACGTCGAACTGTCGATTGTTGCACCATTGGAACAATGACTCGGAATGAAAGCTATGAATGGGTACATAAGCATCTTACTCCGATTAGTTATTTATAATGCAGATCAATCGCTGGCCCTGCCACAGCACGCTGATGGGTGCCGTCGCTGGGATGTGCGACGTCCGTGACACCATGGGATGGCTGCTGCCACAGCACGCTAGGGTTCGCCGTCACCGGGATGTGGGATGTCCGTGACACCACGGGATGGCTGCTCCCACAGCACGCTGAGGGGTGCCGTCACCGGGGTGTGGGACGTCCGTGACACCATGGGGTGGCTGCTGCCACAGCACGCTGAGGTGCGCCGTCACCGGGGTGTGGGACGTCCGTGACATCATGGGATGACTGCATGCTTTTTTCCGCGTGACCATTTCAGAATTTCCAAAAAGTTCGTGGATTTACCTAGCGTGGCTTTGGAGATCCGATGAAGCAGGCTTTCTGGTGGTTTCTTGTTTCTGTCAAATGTATGCCTTTATCGATCAAAAAATTTTGGTAAGAAGATTGATCCTGCCGTTCCTGACAACATTAATCTCAGAAGTACCCCGCCCGACTGGGGGCACGGGCTGAGAGATGAGAGACAGACCTGATAACAAAGGGTTTGGTGGCGTGGCTGTACTAGTGAGAGAGTCACTGGAGGCGACTGTGGTGAACGGACCTGATCAGGTCACAGCAGGCTCCGAACTGGAGTCGCTGTGGGTCCAGATCCACGCTGGCTCTCGAAAAGTGATGGTGTGCTCACTGTACCGGCCCCCGACACGGACGCAGGCCCGAGTCACTGCGGACCTCGGTGAGCTGGAGCAGCAACTCCAGAACATCCTCACCTGTCACAGTGGACCCGTCATCATATCCGGTGACATCAACATCAACATCTGCAGCAGCAACGAGAACACCGCGGCCAGCAAGTTCAGATCTCCTTACAGCATACTCTCTGCAGCAGCATATCAGCGGGCACACGTTCTTGTCATCTAACTCCACCATCGATTGTATTTGTGCAAACGGTGGTGTTGAGCGCGCCGGCACGCCGTACTGTCACTATAGTCCCCATGACTGGTCACGTGCTCTGTTGCCGCTACCGGACTACCGACCTGCACAGTGCGCACTGACGGTAGATGCTTGCGCAAACTGGGCTTGACGGAGGCGAATCGACGTCTCCAAAGTGTGGACTGGGGTCCAGTGTACGGCAGTGTCGATCCAGGAGACCAGTGCGACTATTTCCTTACAATGACTCGTCCTATCGTTGATGCTTTAGCACCGCTGAGTCGTTCAAAAGTGCGCAATCCTACAGCACCACCTCCACGGAAGCTACTAAAGACCTGATGGCCCGGCGGCGTGCCGCACTCCCTGATTATGACCGCGAGACGCATAAGGACCAGAAGTTGATGAAGTTTCCAGCACGAGGTATCTCTGGGCGTCGGAAATATGATCATGTGAGTGATGTTTTACGAGATCTCGAGTGGATGTCTGCTGACAACATGTTCTTATATCATACACTGACAATTCTAAAACGTATCCTGCAAAGATCCCAGCCGGAGTCGCTATCTGATCACCTTATCCATAGACGCCATGTTCGCCATCGCACAACGAGGCAGGGTGATATGTTACATGGACGGTGATCAGATCCGAATGGGGAAGGCGGCGTTTTGTTCTCACCACCGTGACCGCCCACAGCGCACTACCACCAAATATTCGCGACCTGAGCCTTCCACAATTCAAACGCGAGTTGCATAGTTATATCCTGCAGCGGCGGATCAATAACGGATAGCGACGCCTACTTCAACTGACTTTAGCGAATGTCAGGGAGTGCGTTCTGCGTATGTGTGCCTGTGTGTGTACGTGTTTGCTCGAGCCTCCCTGACCTACAGTGTTTTATTTCCATGCCACGGGCTCTGTAACAGCCACAGTCTCAGTGGAGTGAGCTTATGACGTGTAATACATAAATAAATGAATGGACTGTACTTTGGCTGTCAGTTATTTTGGTAACATGAATCAATTAAAAACTTTGCCGTCACAATACAAACTGTAGCTGCCGCTTGAGCCTCCGATAGCATGCCCTGCCCATTAACCCAAATTTGACATTTCAGCCTTCCCTGCTACACAACAAAATTATATCGAAAAGCTTGCTTAGGCCCGTGGTTAGCACTTTTACACTGCATGCACAAAACTAATTGTTGAGGTATTAACATTTTCCAATGCGACGGCGCTTCAAGCAGACTTATGCGCGACGCATTGAGAACAAAAACTGGGTCACGCTATTAAAGACACCCTTTAAACAATTTTGAAGGCGCTCTTACGCTATGTCAACTCTATGTCCGAAAAATGCGTATTAAGTCTTTCAGAGTACTTCTAATGAACATCATTTGCCTTCCATATTTCTTGCGGATGGATTCTCAAAATCTAAGCATGAAATTTGATATAACTTATGCACCTGTGTCGTAGTAAAATACGCATGATTACTTGCTATGGTTTATGTGCGTGTATTCGTGTGTGCATCTGCGTGTGTGCATAATAATAGACCATGGGACGTGCGTTCTACCAAGGAATAACTGAACAACCATGCTTCAGACTAGAAATTTGTATCTCCGCATTATACATGGGAGTCTCTAATTCCTTGCGTGACAGAAATGCTTTGCTTAAGTGTATGATCCTGATCTAAATGGGTTAAATCTGTCGCCACGGGAAAAGGCTAAAAACTGTGAACTGTGTGTGATGCCACTGCAACTGTAGGTGCATACGGTTATCTCCTTGAGACTTCGGCTTGTCTCGTAATTGAAGGTGATCGTGCTTCTCTCTGAATGTGGTTTTCCACTCTCTCGTAAGCCTTTGGCAGTGCTAGACGCGTAAATCTGCAAGACTGGCACATGTCCAGAAAAAGTCCCTTGCCATGTTGGCGGCGGCGAATGCAAGGAGAGGCGGATGAGGCATGGCGCCCGGAAACCAACGTTGGGAGGTGGGCTGCAGCGCACGCTCCGAAATGTCCTACATTAACACCGAGCTCCTCCCATGAGAACAAATATAATATCGCGAGCGCATGTTCCATCCATCTTGCAACTGAGCCACCAACATGTACAGATGAGGTCGTGCCATTTGTACGCCCCTGCGGCTCATGGCGGACCTCAGTCCAGAGCTTGCATGTCTATTGCCTTCTTTGTAGTTAATCCGCCCACGGAGTTAATCCGAGACTTCGGCCGGCCCTTGTCAGTGCCACTGACCCGCTGAGAGCGAGCACACACGTCCCTCTCCCGCTCGGCACTGTCGTCACTCGCACAGCGACGATGGCCGTCCTGCTCCGGAGCGCGCCGGCGGTGCTTCTGAGTCTGACGCTGCTGCTGACCGCAGCGGCCGGCTACCCCGACGTGCAGTCCCGCCCGCTGGTCGCCACGCGAGAGGGCATCGTCAGGGGCGTGGCGCGGCGCAGCGCCGCCGGCGGCCTCTTCTTCGGCTTCAAGGGGATCCCGTACGCGCGCGCGCCGCTCGGGCCACTCCGCTTTCAACCACCGCAACGCCACCCGGGCTGGGCGGACGTGCTGGACGGCCTCAAGCACGGCCGCACGTGTCTGCAGTACAATTCGCTGAAGAACTACAGTCTGGAGGGCGAAGAAGACTGCTTGTTCGCCAATGTGTACACGCCGCAGCTGCCGGCGCTGGAGAGAGCCGTTGGAGGTTTGCCAGTCATGGTCTTCATCCACGGCGGGGGCTTCATGATGGGCAGCGGAGACGAGGAGATATACGGACCGAACTACTTCATGGACGAGGCTGTGGTGCTGGTGACCTTCAACTACCGACTGGGACCGTTCGGATTCTTCACGGCACACGATAAGAGCGCTCCCGGCAACTACGGTCTGCTGGACCAGGTGATGCTGCTGCAGTGGGTCCGGGACAATATCGCCAGATTCGGCGGAGACCCTGCTGCGGTGACCGTTTTCGGCGAGTCAGCGGGAGGGGCCAGTGTCTCGCTCTTGGTGCTGAGCCCCCTGGCGAAAGGCCTGTTCCACCACGCCATCAGCCAGTCAGGTACGGCATTGGCAGACTTTGCGGCAGGTGGAAAGGAGAAGGATTTCACTCAGAAGTTTGCAGAACAGCTCAATTGCTCTGCCGACGATGTTTCCATCATGGTCGAGTGCATAAGGAATGCCCCCTCCGAGGATCTCATGGAGGCTAAAAAGAAAATAGGCCTGCAAGAATTTTTTTTTCATCCGCGGGTGGACCACGAATCGGAATCGCCGCTGCTGCCAAATGATCCGCGTTATCTCATCAAGAATGGGGAATTCAACCTGGTTCCATGGATGAATGGCATTGCGGAAGAGGAAGGAGCACTGTATGCTCGTTTTTTTCTCCAAAACAAATCAGTGGCGGAAGGTGTGTCTTCAGGAAATCCCATCACATGGGGCATCCTAACTGGCTTGATTAGCGAGTCCGGGGCCATTCCACTGGACTGTGGATCGGACTCAAACGTGGAGATCGCCAAAGTGATTGACTTCTACGTCGGCAATGACACACTCAGCCATACTAACACTCTGCCGTTCGTTCGAGCTATAGGAGACCGAGTATTTGTTGTTCCCATGTCGGAGGAGGTGCGCCTCGCGTCACTCCACGCGCCGGTCTACAAATACGTGCTGGATTACAGAGGACCTGGTCGCCTCTCCCCCGCCGAGCTGTTTGGAATTGATGCATCGATCATGGATCCCTCGCACGGCGATGACTTGGTGTACCTGTTCAGCAACGCAAAGCAGGCAGCGTACCCGGCCGACTCGCCGACGTACACC